TATTTGTCCAATACGTTGACCAAATGGCAGCTTTTGATTGTCTTTGGTGAACATTTTAACGGCTGCTTGTCATCAGCATGTTGGAACTGTCATGGTGGGAATTTCAGCCTTTATCTCAGGTGTTCCCAAGCATAGCCTTGCAGAGTCGCTCACATGGCCAGGGCTGCTGCTAACAGCTAGATCTCTATCGATTTGTCTGATTAGTTGATTAATCTAAGTGATTCATGTTTTATGCAAAAAATATAATAGTTCAAATGCAGACCTGGATACAGATAGTGGACTTAAAGCAGATGACAGAAGCTGGTGTGTTTAGTATTCGTGTGTCAGATGACGTTGATCCTTAAACTGTCCTTAACGTTACCACCAGTAAATGTGGCTGTTGCCTGATCAGATGGATGTTTCAGGGTTATAACTTTATAACCACGTAGAGTAAAATGTTCTTTAAACTTAATCGGTGCACGTTTGGCTTCCAGGCACAACCACATCTGGACCTGAACACATCAGCTCGGGTGCTGAGCAGACTATGCATACCCAACGTCATGAAGGAGTCGGTGCCCAGCAGGCCACTGGACTACTACACATGTGCCTTCCGCAAGTCCAAGATGAGCAGGTGAGCTAACTCTGGACTGTTGACTTCCAGCATGTCAGTATGTTTGCTAAAACCATGACTGTGTTTAGATTCCTTGGCTGTGAAGACCGTGAAACCTACTTCAGTAACACACAGAGACACCGTGTTGTAAGTAACAACAGTTTACCACTACGCTGGATGTACTGAGTGTTCATGTCACCTGATGGAGGGAGGGTTTTATTCCAGGTGTACGAGATTCTCGCCAGGACCATGTACGGCAAAAGGAAGAGGGCCGAGGTCGGTGTGGACAGACTGGTGAACGAGGGCGCCTACACAGCAGCCTTCCCCCTGCATGAGGTGAGATGTTCTTGTCTGCTCTGCAGCCTGAACTCTGCTGTTTCCCCTCAGTAGTCAGCAGCAGGTTTGTTCTCCCACAGGGTCCTTTCCAGCTTCCAAAGTACGAGATCCGCCCAGATGAGCTGAACCAGAGGCAGGTTCTGTACCACTACTGGGCCCGCTGGTGCAAATGGTACAAGTACCAACCGCTGGACCACATCAGGGAGTACTTCGGAGAGAAGATTGCCCTGTACTTCGCCTGGCTGGGTAAATAGAACTTCTTAATAGATAGATAGATAGATAGATAGATAGATAGATAGATAGATAGATAGATAGATAGATAGATAGATAGATAGATTCAATCTCTGCCAGGCTCCAGACCTTTTAATCTCTTCATACATCTCCAGTTGCTCGTACAAAACAGAAAGTAAAGCCGTTTGAAAGTTATTTGCTCATAAACCAACGAGCACGCTGCCTGATTCACAGCCTTTTATTGTTTTATTGTTCAGACTAAATAATGTCTTCATCAGAGTCACACAGATGTAGTCCACCCGACCAGGTCTGCATTTCTCTTTCAATGACTGATTCAATTCATCCACGTCAGAGGGTGAACATCATGTCAGAACGAAACCTCTCCTTAAGTGGATAACAGATATAAAAGTACTTCTATAAATACCTGAAGCTTCAACACTTAGATGAAACATGACAGCTTTAATGCTTCATTATTACCAAAGGGCTGCACTGTTTTTAAAGTGTGGGTCCACAGTGCGTCTGTGAAGTGCTATGATGTCACCTCTTCTGGGAGAAGGGAGCATCTTCTCTACTCCAGATCTTCAGTAGTGCTGCAGAGCTGTGGGCAGCCTGTAAACCATGTCAGGCTACAGCACCGTCCATGCTTTGTGTACATACTGCTGTCTTGTGTTCAGGTTACAACTCGTTAAAGCTCTCGTTAGTGTCCAACAAACACAAGACTACAGAGACATAAACGAAGCATGTGTGCTACTGCAGCTGAAGGACTTAGTGGAGTATTGTGATGCTTTAGGATAACGTTTCTGAACCTGCCTGCTAGAGGAGAATATTCAGTACTGGTGGCTCTATGTGGAGGCTCCTCTGAGAGGCTGGAGAGGTACATGATGAAGGGTAACCCCTAAAGCTTTAGGCTGCACATCTGTAACAGTGCAAGTTTAAAACTGAACACCACAGTCCATCAAAATTAATGAAGATAAATCTGAAGCAATAAAAGCATGACCCATAAGTTCTTTATACAAGCAGCACACTGAACAGGGAAGCTGGTACTGGTCCAGCTCCCTGCCTGCTAGATTTATCTGCAACAGTCCACTTTGTGCAGAGGATTGCACATTTTACATTTCTTTATAAAACCAACAGCAGAGGCAGGTATTTGGCTTTGGAGGTTAAATCTGTTTGGTCTGAACAACAGAAAAGAATGCAGCATACATTAAACTTCATCAGCAAAAAGAAGATAGGTTTGAGACAACAGGATCATTATCCTCAGGACGGACTAGACAACATTCCAGCATTAAACATCGGTGCAGCTGCGTAACAGCACATCCCCCTCCTGCATCAGCAGAGCGCTGCAGTCTAATGGGGCTTTATGTTCCTGCAGGTTTCTACACAGCCTGGCTGCTGCCCGCTGCAGTGGTTGGAACCTTGATCTTTGTGTCTGGAGTCATGTCCATGGGCAACAACACGCCGGCGTAAGTCTTCACAGCACACACAGAATACAGGCTTAAATGCTCAACGCAGAGTGACTGACAGGAAGAAACATGCTGTACACACAACAACACACATTTAACACACAGCTGTTCTTATGCGACTGTTCTGTTCAGTTATTATAATATGTTATGACACTAATTTTACCAGTTTAAAGGACGCTGGCGCTGGGATTAAATCTGAAAAAGAATCTTTGCTACATGTGTGCATATCAGATATTTATCACGTATGGATTATTGTTATCAGATAAACATCTGCTGGTCCATTGTTGGTAATTCAGATGTTATTAAAAAATGATCAGACAAAATGGAGTTTAGTTAAAAAACAGTAAGATGTTCCATGTCTATGCCACATGTCAAAACAAGATCAAGAGTCAAAACTACGAGTTGGTTTATTGACATTTTGAGAGAAACCAACTGAGTCTAACAATGAGCTAAAAGCAGAGTTGAGGCCGTCGTCGTCATCGTCTACGTGGATGTTAAAGTCACCACTAGAATGACTTCATCTGTACTGAGACTGAAGAACTCTGAGAATTCAGATAGAAGCCGGTGGCTGATATACAACAACTAACAGAACTGGTTTTTGTGTTTTCCAGTTCACGTGTGTGAGACTAAGACGAAGGCTTTCAGATGAATTATTGCTAAGTTCTGGTCTCTGGTTGATTAATAGGTTTGAGTAGAAGATTGCTGCCACTCCTCCTCCTCTGCCTCCAGGGAACACAGCCCGACTCCAGACAAAGCTAAATTGAAGCACCTTTTCCTATGTTTTGAGAAATAATCATAAATCTTTTCTTTTTGTTTCGACAAATGTACTCATCTTTAGCTTTGAAAACATCTCTGGCTTATTTGAGATTAAACACCTTCACTTGTTTTAAACAGTCTGGATGAGGTAGATTTGTTTTTGTTCTGTTCTCACATAGTTTTGCTCATTTGAAGTCATATTTCTTTCACTGTGCTGCAGTTTTCCTCGTTTTCAGAGAGTTCAGTTTTTGCAGAGCTGATACCATCAGAGACACAAACCCAAACCTGCACTTACAGACCGTCTCTGGTTCCGGCACCAGAGCCACCGTTCAGCGCCACATTTAACGCGTGGACATGAGATTAGCATCGATCTGCTCATCTCGCTCTCACAAAGAAGGAAAATAAGCATATTATGGCTTTTCCTTTAAAGGATGCCTCCAAATTAAACTCTGCTTACACGCTCTATTACAAATCACATCCAGCAGATGCAAATAAATCAAAACACAGCCTGTTCTACATAAAAACGAGCCTCATAATTATACAGTCCACACAGGGTACGACTGCTCCCAGTTTATTCTAAATTATAAACACAACATGTGGATTCACTTTCAGGTTAAGTGTGCATACCCAAATACTGCCTTTTTAAAAATGGTTTAGCATCTATCTATCTAACTATGGCATCCTGTTGGTTTTATTGACATGAATATCATCCTACTCTGATCTAAGAGGGGAGGTAAAAGAAGCAATGTTCGACATGTCAATATCTCAGGAAAGGAAGCAGCCAAATGTCTCAGATTCAAGGTCGTTAGTTCACACTGTAGATTAAAGCCATTGATTAGCAGAGAGTGGATAGAGAGCAGCCTGTGGCAACAAGAATCTCATAATGGACAATTAGTGCACAATAATCTCCCCATTACAGAAAAATACCAAGGATAAGTGTCTCTCAGTTCGCCTGGCTGCTGTTTATATACCAGGGCTGATGTGTTGTCAGGGTTTCGGTGATTTTCAGATAATCCCAATCAACAAAAGAATCGTGACTATTTCTGACTTTCATCTTCTTTTTTTTCCTAATCCTTGAATTTGTATATCTTTGGTTTATGTGCATGCAAAATCAGTTAATAACAACTGAATGTACTGTATGAGTCCTACATCGAAACCTTGAAGAATTCTTTCTCCGTCTGTGTGTCTGTCTGTTAACAGTAAGGAGATCTGCAGCAGCGGAGCGAGCTACCTGATGTGTCCGCTCTGTAAAACCTGCCAGGCCTGGAACATGTCTGAAATCTGCACCATGGCTAAGGTACAGACCTGTCACTGGTTGTGATGCCAACAGGCTTAAACAGATGTTTCATGGCACCTCTCTGTGTTCCAGCTGGGCTACCTGTTTGATCACCCAGGCACCGTGTTCTTCAGCGTGTTCATGTCCTTCTGGGCTGTAACATTTCTGGAGTACTGGAAGCGAAAGATGGCCACTCTGTCCCATCACTGGGACTGCATGGACTTCCACGAAGAAGAGGTACGACCGTGCTGGTCTCGTGTGCTTTGTGGTTGTTAGGAATGTCCTCGTTAACGGGTCGAGAAACCCAAAAGAGGGACATTTCTGACAGACCCCAGATCTTTAACTGCATAAATATGTTTTTTTTTTATCATTTACCTTTTTACACAGAGATGTTAGTGTTGTTGCTTTCTAAACAGGAGTAAACAACACAGCAAAAAAACAAGTTAAATTCTTCACCTGTGGCTAGAACATGACTTCACATGTCTGGAGTCTGCAGCTTGACTTCTCTCAGTAAAAAGTTCGTCCATTTCTGCTCATCGCTGTGTCCTTCCAGGAGCGTCCTCGGCCAGAATTTGCAGCCATGGCCCCGACGATGGAGCAGAATCCAGTGACGGGGATCAAAGAGCCCTACTTTCCAGAGAAGACCAGGCTGTCTCGCATGTTCACTGGCTCCATGGTCATCGTGATGATGGTGAGTCTCTGTTGAAGACGTATGAATTTAGCTTTGCTGTGAATAAATAAAGACAGCAGCCATTATTGATGTCAGTCAGACGGTGACGAGTCTGATCCGCTGAGTGCAACGCAACTGGGTCGAGTAAATCATTTAAGTCAGGTGTCGTGAACAGATTCTGTCAGTTCCCTTTCCTTGATGTCCTTTTCCTGTTCTTACAGTTTCATTTTCAGTCAATCAATCAGACTTTATGGTAGCACTTTTCATACAAACAGAAATGCAGGACAAAGCGCTTAACAAATAAAAATGCAATAAAACAATACAAACAGCCCCCATTCCCGCCCCACAGTTATTATTAAAGGACTCTCCAACACGAGGACTGAAGAACCGTCTCAGTGAAGCGTCTCAGTGTCTTCTGAGCTTTAGTTTTTGTGATCCTAAAGAAAGGAGAGGTGGGGTTAACGCCTTTGTGCTACATCCTGCAGGAGTAACTGAACCCGTTTCTAATAATGAATCCAGATCATATGCCCACAGGGGCGGATGTGGACGCATAATCTCAGCCATACACTGGGATTAACTTCTTCGTAGACCTGAGGATCAGTTTCCCACAAACTTCTTCTCATAACAGTGACAGTGGTGGACACTCAGTACAGTGAGTCTATACAGGACACAACCTCTTCCTAGTTCATAACCAGTTGTGTATTTTATATTGAAGTGGCCGTGGGAACACAGGTGTATGGTGTTAATCAGGGATTTCCATTCAAAAAAATGGGTTTGGTTGCAAATTCATTTGCAGGAACAGAAAATGGCAGAACCATGGACGAGGTAGATAAAATATTCTGTCTGATCTGCATGCAAATGATCAGAACTCTTGTAGGAAACCAGATCAGTAAAAGGGTATTTACGCTATTTGAGATGTCAGTCAGGAAGCTGTGGGGAGCCTTTACACAATTTGTAGAAGTGATTAGTAATAAAAATAAAATCCTTAAAGCATTCTTGGTTTACCGATATTTCCCTGTGCTTCCTGTCAGCTGTGTGTGGTGATGATCTTCCTGGTGACGGTGGTCATGTGCCGCGGCATCATCAGCGTGATGATGTTCCACACCGGGAGCCCTGTGCTGCGTACGGAGGTAAACCAGAACTACTCAACATGTCTGCTTTAGAAATGTGCATATAGTGTTTTGAATATTTTGTGGTTTGCTTAAAAAATTGCATCACCTCTCGTTGCATGTTGTACAGTGTTTCCTCTAATGAAGGATCAAAAACTAATTATTTTGAAACACGATACAGAAAATACAGACACACGAGTAATCAGTGACACACAACCTTCCAGTCAGCCCTGCACGAACATGGCTGTAAAATGACCTGTGACCACCAGAACTTTCCCAGTTTTGGACCTGCGTCTATCTTTATGTCTGCATCATGGCTCCTCGTGGAAAACAGAGGATCTGAAAAGTCTGAGGGTTAGAAAGACATAAAAGGAAACAGGAAGATCAGTGTCCAGTACAAGCAGCAGTAATCGAGCTCAGGGGTTCTGGACGGAGTTCAGGGGTTCTGTGTGAAGGACGGTGCATAACATCAACGTCTATGGACAAGAAAAATATCCGTGCTTGCTGTTTGAAACAAGATGAAACTTTGCCAAAGAGCCTGAACAGAAGTGTGATGGATTTGGGTAGCAGCACATCCTTTGACCAGATGTGATCGAGCTAAATTTGGCATGAACCGGGTCAGGACAGCCGCAGTGAATGAATAGTCCTGACAGTGTGATTATATGAGGCTGCATTAATGCCAAAAACGTCTGGGAAATTACATTTATAGATGACACAGTGAACTTAGTAGAACAATTTTAGGTGTTTTGAAGTAAGAAGCAGAGCAACACAACCACTCCAGCAAAGAATAGCAGAACGTCTCTCCTTAAATCTGATGTTCTTTATGTAGAAGAGAATCGAGTCTGTCATCAAAACAAAGGTGGACACAAAGTATTAAAGAAATAACAGATTGATTCTACTGACAATTCTTGCTTTTGTTGCTGGGGCTGTATTTTTAATACAGTAAACCTAACCTGTTGGTTTCATATGTCTGTGACCCGTTTCCCAGGCGGGGACCATAGCCAACATCTCCAGCAGCATCGTAAACCTGGGCCTCATCCTGCTGATGGGGCGCGTCTACACCGCGTTGGCTGAGCAGCTCACTAAATGGGGTAAGAGTCAGTTCTGCTCTCTGACACCTCAAACCTCCATCAGCTCCTCACTTTATATCCCCTAAATACAAACTGAGACTTCTCAAAAAGCAGATGAAGGTCTTCAATTTAATACCAGCGTCTGGGTTAAAGTAAACTGTCCACTTCCACCACGTCAGAGCGCTGCCCCGGGGTGGAAGTGGCCGGAAAGTGCACAAGCGCACCAGTCAGTTAGGCTGAAATCCAGCGATGCGTAGTGTTCTAACAACACACTAGTTATTATAACAACTATGAACAATAATGAACAACTAATGAACCTTCCAGCATCAAGCCCTCCTCGTATCTGGACCTCCGTCTGGACAATCCGACAGCCTTGATATCCCACATAGAAGAAGGTTTTACATTTAGTGTCGGATTATCGAGTCAAATCCAACAATTGCTCACAGAATAAGTTAGAAGCAACAGAAAGTCCTGGTCCTCATTCACACCGCTGTCAGCTGTCTCGCGCTGAACAGTTTAGGTCATTGCTGTCAATCAGGCTGGAACAGCAGCTCAGTTTAAAGCTACAGACACTGAAACAGCCTGTTTTAAAGAGTGCTAACACCAGGAGTCATGCAGTCATGGTAAAATAAACCATCCTTTTAATACATTTGGTAGAAAGAGGCACCATGTGGGACTTTCAATGTGTTTCTTTTCTGCTCTGTTGCAGAGATGCACAGAACACAAACCCAATATGACAATGCTTTCATCTTCAAGGTGTTCATCTTCCAGTTCGTCAACTTCTACTCGTCTCCCTTCTACGTTGCTTTCTTTAAAGGAAGGTGAGACATGAGTCAGACACATAAAAACCATCATGAAAGGATCAGCGCCGTGTGACAGCACATGTATTTACCTGTGTCATTCCTCTGTGTGTGGCCAGGTTTGTGGGCTACCCGACCAACTATGGAACCTTGTTTGGGATGAGAAATGAAGACGTGAGTCCCTTGTCTTCGTAGCTTCTCAGTCATCCAGATCATGGTAATCCTAAGTGCTTCAGTAGAAGACAACTGGAGAGGTCCACTTGCTTTCTATTGAAGCACTTAGGAGGTGAGTCTCTTCTTGTACGTCTGCTTCACAAATTTCTCAGACAGCTTCTGGTGTTTGTTCATCCAAGGAGGTAACAGGTGTCGCCCACTTGAGTCACGTCTGCATGTCTTCCTGTCACAGTGTGGTCCTGGGGGTTGCCTCATTGAACTGGCTGAGCAGCTCTTCATCATCATGGTGGGAAAGCAGCTCATCAACAACATCCAGGAGTTCATCTTACCGTACGTACACGCGTGGCCTTGTTTGCCTCGTTAAACTGATAACTGTGTTTTTAAGGAACATTTTAAGTTGTGGGCTGGAAGGTGGAGCAGTGGTTAGCACCGTTGCCTCACAGCTAGAAGGTCGCTGGTTGGTATCCCGGTGAGGACACCCGGGATCTTCCTGCGTGGAGTCTCCATGTTCTCCCCGTGCAGCGTGGGTTCTCTCCGGTTCGCGGGCTTCCTCCCACAGTCCAAAACAATTTTTATTTATTTATTTTTCATATTTTTTTCAAATTTTTTTTTAATTTAAATTTTTTAGTTTTGTTTTTATGTTTTTGTTTTATTATTTTTTTAAAATAATGTTGCTTTAAAAGCAAAGGAAATATGCGCACAACAACATTCCTAATACACACAGTTCCTTTGCTTTTAAAGCGACATTCTAAAAACATTTAATAAAAAAAATACAAATAAAACAAATAATACACTTTTAAAAAAATGTTTTAAAATAAATTTTAAAAAGTAATAATAAATAAATTAATTAAAAATAATAATAATAAAACATTAAAAATAAGAATAAAAAAACAAAATATTAATAAAAATAAATAATAAAATCAAATAAATTATTATTTTTATTTTACTTTTATTATCCTTTTCTTTAATGCATTCATTTTTGATTAATATTGCTTTATATTGCCACATTATTTACTTTTTATTTAATTTATTCTTTTAAAAAAATATTCTTTAATTGATTTATTTTTGCAATTTGGCACTCTTACTGCTCCATACGCAGCCTGACAAAAATCTAAATGTAAGATGATGCCGACACATTGGAAATTGTATTCAGATTGTAAAAAGGAAATACGTCTTAGAAAATCATACATATACCAGTAATAAAACAAACATATCCAGTTAAAATCAGATGAGGCGTCTGAGGCTCTTGCAGCTCCAGAGCAGTTGTTTTGTAGATGAACTGACTCCCTGTGCTGAGTCCAGAGGTTGTAGATAACCTCTATTTCATGGTTGTTTTCACGTTTAGTAAATGTCTACCACTGTTCCTCTGCCTTCACAGGAAAGTAAAGGCCTGGCGCCAGAAGAGAACTTTGGCTAAGGTCATCGGAGGAAAGGGGTCTGGTGAGCCTCGGCGCTGGGAGGAAGACTACCAGCTGGTGGAGTGTGAGGGTCTGTTTGAAGAATACCTGGAGATGGGTGAGTATGAGATGTCTCTGCTCTGAAAACAACTCCAACAACGATTCCAGTGTCAATGATGAACGTCTTCTCTGCAGTGCTTCAGTTTGGGTTCATCACCATCTTCGTGGCAGCGTTCCCCCTCGCCCCGCTCTTTGCCCTCCTCAACAACTGGGTGGAGATCCGTCTGGACGCCCACAAGTTTGTGTGTGAATATCGCCGTCCGGTGGCTGAACGGGCTCAAAATATCGGAGTCTGGTTCAACATCCTGGAGGCCCTGTCGCACCTGTCCGTCATCGCCAACGTCAGTGGATCACACCGGACAGTGATGTTATTACCGTATAGTTCTGTTCAGACTGGAATGATGCATCCTAACACCGTCTCTTGTGCTTCCTCAGGCTTTCCTAATAGCCTTCACATCCGATTTTTTACCTCGCCTGCTCTACCAGTACAAGTTCGGTGATGATCTTAATGGATACGTGAACTTCACCTTGGCTTACGCACCACTGAATTACACTGAGTACCCCATGTGCAGGTATGTTGTGTTCTAAAGGCATGTAACGGTAATCAGGTCCTGGGGCACATAGGTTTTCTCAAATATGTTTAATTTGGTGTCACATCTTCAGCAAAGGATGGCTGCAAGGTGGTTCGGTGGTTAGCACCGTCGCCTCGCATCTAGAAGGTCGCCGGCTCGCATCCCGGTGAGGACACCCGGGATCTTTCTGCGTGGAGTCTCCATGTTCTCCCCATGCAGCGGGTTCTCCGACTTCCTCCCACAGACAATTTAGAATCACCAATTAACCTCAGCATGTTTCTGGACTGTGGGAGGAAGCCGGAGAACCCGGAGAGAACCCACGCTGCACGGGGAGAACATGGAGACTCCACACAGAAAGATCCCGGGTGTCCTCACCGGTGACCTTCTGGCTGCGAGGCGACGGTGCTAACCACCGAGCCACCTTCTGCTGCCTATCACCTCCACCCATGTGCAGTATGTTCTGCCATAACTATATATCATTTTTCTTTATAGATATAAAGCTTTCAGAGACAACAATGGAAACTACACATTCTTCTACTGGGAACTCCTCGCTGTCAGACTTGGTTTCATCATTGCATTTGAGGTATGGAGGGAGCTCCTTCGTCTATGTATTTGGCGTTTCAGAGATTTCAGTGTCCACACTTCATTTACTTTTATCTTCCACTGACACCTCTGCTGCCATGTACATATTTTAACTACTCTCCACCAGTGCATTGTTTCGATTTTAAAGTTTACTTTTCTGACTTAACTTTCCCTTCATTTCTCACCTTCACCTCATCTTCCATCTCCCCTTTCTGTCTGGTGTTTGTTTCTGCTGATGGGGGCACAGATTTCTGCATTTTCATATTCAAAGTTCAGTCTACTGCATGCTCAAAATCAATTTCTCACTTCCAATTTTGCAGCAATCTCTTTCTTTCCCCTCCTCCTCCAGCATGTGGTGTTCTTCGTACTGCGAGCCATTGACTGGATTGTGCCCGATGTCCCCGAGTCCCTGGAGCTGAAGATCAAGAGGGAGCGCTACCTGGCGAAGCAAGCTCTGGCTGAAAACCAGGAGGCCCTGCTGGTGAGTCGAGGCCGAGGGGCCAACCCCGCCACTCCAGGCACTTCCAGCCCAGGTCAGTAAGAACATGGGACACACACTCACAAACACAACCGTCTGCAACACACACACACTTGTAACGTCTGACACTCTAGAAACTGAACGTCTAAAGGGTCAGCGTGTAGGAAGTAGGCTGCTCTGTTTGTGTCTTCATTAGAGTTTCATCTCTTGTAACTGTTGTGTTTTTATTAGCTTAGAACGAGTCCTTCAAAGTCCACACAAGGAGCAGATCTTCTTCCCTGGAGCTCGCCGTGTTTCTACAGTAGCTCAGAATGGACAAACCAAACCAGCCACTTGAGTTTCTCCCACACATCTGAAGAGCGAATTCAGTTAGTTGAAAAGTGCAACGTCGCCACTAGATGCCACTAAATCCTGCAGACTGGTGCTTTAACGTGAGAGCAAAAATCTGACTGCAAGGGTTTCAAAATCAAGGAAATGTGTCAGGGAGCGGTATCTTTCCCCAAACCGTGTCATTCTAACTGCAGTTTCCAATAAAACATCATCGTACCGAGTTCTTGATATCTGCCTTAAATACCAGAATCACGTCACAAATACTCTGTTGTTTTTTCCGATGCGTCCACTCAGGCGATGGTCGTAATAACGCACCAGCACCAGTGATAAACCTGTCACCGGCGCTGCTGATTCCCATAAATACATTCCACAATTTAAAGACTTTTAAAAGCTCCCTCGCCCGCCCTCCTCCTCCTCCACAGGGAATCTGAAAAGCACCTGTGGCCCGAGTGGTTGTCGTAAACTCCACGCCGAGCACAACATGATCATTAAAGGCAATCTGAGCGGGATCGGTGCCAGATACGTCGGTGTCAGACGATCGCGGTTACATCCACGGTCCTCGTGAGCTGACGTCTGTTGGCACAGTTTTTTTTATTTCCTCTGTCAGCTCCTGTTGATGTTCAACTCGATGGAAACGAGGTCACTGGAGCAACATGAGAAAGTAGAACGACCATTCAGAGGCATATGTTGTACATTCACAGCGTCATGGTGTGTATATTTATCCTCACCTGTGTGTGTGTGTGTGTGTGTGTGTGTGTCCCTGTCCTCTGACCATGCTGTTGTCATGTTGTTCATGTGTTGTTCGATGAGGACAGGTAAGTAGAGCGCAAGTAAGTAAATGGCATTCTCAGGAAGGATGCCATGATTTCAGTAGGTATAGAAGAAGTTAAAAAAAATGTGTTATTTGTTGGTTTTAACCCTCTGAACCCCAACAGTGGGTTTAAAGGACAAAGGTCTCCTTAACTTGTCTTTGAATTACTTTCGATTTCATTCGAAAACAAATCTAAGCTCAACATCCTGGTATTAAATGTGACAGAAGCAGAAACCGCCTCAGAGGGTTCAGAGGGTTAAAGCCTGAACAGAACCTGCTTTTATTTTCTGCTGCAGCTTGTACCTACAAAACTCAGGTTCCCCAAAACTGCTTACAGTGAGATAGATTCATTATTATTCCAGATGTAACTGGAAGGTGATTGTTGTAGCTGCTTGATTTAGAGAGCATCACTTAGCAAACACGTCGTATATTACTATAAGCCAGCGTTAGTGACCAGCAGGTGCTTAACTTACTGACAATACCTGATGATGATCTCACTGTGACAGCAAGACCCCAGCATGTTGTGTCTGGCTGTCGATGATCAAGACGTGTAGCTCCACTAAAACCAGTTTGCTGAAGCTTCACTGTCGGTTATACAAGGAGTAGTTCCACATTTTGGGAAATATGTCTGTTTGCTGTTTGATAAAACTGCATCCTGAAGGTAAATTATGATCTCAGCATAAAATCTGGACATGGGTCATGGATCTACCAGGACTTAACCACCCCCTAGGTTCTCCTACCAAACCAGCTCTGAGCCCTCAGGACCTCTGGGTATATCCTCAGGCGTCTGGCACGGGGCGCTGCCAGCACATTTTTAAGTCCTGCGGGTTGCACGGTGAATCCTCCGTGGATTGAACTTGTTGCATCCTGCAGGTGCTCGAGGGTTTTTCAGAGGTCATCGCCGTGGACGCTCACTTTTCTTTAAGGTGTTCCTGAGTGTTTTCACTGAGGTGCATCGTCCTGCTGCTGGGAGTGTGATAATGGGACTGTGTGAGCGTAAAACGTGTCGAGAGGTGACATTTATAGATGCCTGTGGATATAAATAACAAACTACTGGCTGACAAGACGACTCCCAGCCAGCATGATAGCTATCTATCTGTATCAGGGGTGTCCAGTCCTGGTCCTCCAGGGCCACAGTCCTGCATGTTTTAGATGTTTCCAACACACCTGATTCAAATGATCAGGATCGTTATCAGGCTTCTGCAGAGCTTGATGATGATCTGATCATTTGAATCAGGTGTGTTGGAAACATCTACAACATGCAGGATTGTGGCCCTCCAGGACCAGGATTGGACACCCCTGATCTATATAACTGTGACCTGGTCAAGTACGTCGCCTGACTTAAATCCAGTAGAACACCTTTGGGATATTTGAAAGAGAACTGCAGAGCAACACAAGCCCTCAAACAAAAAGCAGCTGAATACATTTTTCTCTCCAGAAACCTCAGTAATGACTTTCCTACTGTGGGATCCCAGCTTTTAATAAATCAAAACTCTGGTTTTTCATCTACAATGAAGGGCCTGATGGTCTTTTCCTGTCTCCAGCCTTCATGTTGAGCTTCACAGACGTTCTTCTTATGATCTCAGAAAGAAAGCAGACAAGCATGTATCTCAAAATGTTTTTAAAAAAATCTCTCATCAGTAGTTGAAATCCTGTTTCTATTTGACTGTAATTCGATAACTACTTTGTGCCTCATGAATATAGATGCAGCTCGTTGTGAGTCCGTAGCATGTCGCTGCAAAGATCCGCTGTGTCAGCAGTTTTGTTTTTTTTTCTTTATACCTCCTACAACAGTCGGTCCGACAGAGCTAACTCTCTCTCCCCCGTCTCTCTGCTCCTTCCCCATTCCTTCCATGTCCGAACCCAACCGCTCTGCCTCCCCTGAAGCAAGCGACGCGTCCTTTGGAGACATGAGTTAGGAGCCCGCCGTGGAGAAGGAGTGGAGGAGGAACAAGAGACGCTCCTTTGCATCTGGAACAGCACGAGTGAACTTTTTCCCCCCGAGTGGAATACGATCTTTGAACTGGATTGCTTTTCGCTTTATTAATGGATCTGTTGCTGCTCAGATATTCTGATGAGCAGGTGTGTGATCGAGGCTCAGCTCGTCTCGGTTTGCTCGCCTTCCTCAGAATACTTTTCATCGACATCATTAAGCTTCTATCTGGCATCGCCCGGCTATGTCAGGACTACGAGGATCGGATCTGTACTGGAGCAAGGGCATATATTTAGAATACATAAATGTGTATGAAAATCAATAAAGAAACCACACCTGTGTCAGAAAGTTAAATTTAGATCGACAACCTGTAGATGCAGCATGTTGATCTGTTTCCAGGTCCAATCAGAAAGTCACTCGGATCAGAGACCTGCAGCGGTGGACTGGAGAGTGGACCCAAGACCCACAAGTGTTAAACTGATGTCGTTGGTCTTAGTTCATTTTTCTTTGCGTCATATAACATGTTAAACTCATTTGATGAGTCAAACCAACACTGGATCTGCATTTTCTGTTACACCAGACTTCTCATACAGTTGGAGTTGTTTAGGAGGCTCCCAGAAGTGAACACGTTTCCACTTCGTTATGGCCCTTTTCAGACGTGCATCATCGGTGGTGTCATTTGTCTGTTACGGTGCTTTCATCCGGACACTTCAACGTTCCTTTATTCAGACTCAGCAGAACAGTAACGTAGAAAGATGCTCCCGGATGTCACGCACGGGACTAGACGGTCAGTCTGTTAACACTACAGCACGCAGCTCAGACTCACTCATGTTGAAATGTCACCGTGTCCGACCTTCTAAGATTGTGTCGTGGCTCAGTTGGTAGGGCGACGTGTCCGTGGGTTGACTCGTGATGGGAGGCACCTCGTACGGCAGCTCTGGGCAACTGGGAAATACTGTAAAGCACTTTGAGCACCACCAAGTCGAATCAAATCAACTTTATTTATAGAGCGCTTTGGAACAGCCACATGGGGGGGTCATAAAAACAACAAAGCAAACCAACAATAAAAACAGCTTAGAACAAATAAAAACAACTAGAGCAGAGCGAGGTCTCATGCGTGGAGTCTCCATGTTCTCCCCGTGCAGCGTGGGTTCTCTCCGGGTTCTCCGGCTTCCTCCCACAGTCCAGAAACATGCTGAGGTTAATTGGTGATTGTAAATTGTCCGTAGGTGTGAATGTGAGTGTGCTTGGTTGTCTGTCTCTAAGTGTAGCCCTGTGATAGACTGGTTACCTGTCCAGGTGAACCTGCCTTCACCCTGAGTCAGCTGGGATAGACTCCAGCCCCCCATGACCCTGGTGAGGATGAAGGTGTAGAGATGATGGATGGATGGTCTCATGCTGGGTTCAGAGATAAGGTAGAAAGGTGCAGACCATTTACCATTTTTAGGGAAAAGGCGCTTATTCAACATGAAGCTGACACTCTGAGATGATGTCAGGTTGATGGAGAGGACTGCATGTCTGGAGGACAACAAACTTGCTGTTAATGAAGGTGAGGTAACTCCTCCGGAGCCACAGAAGATACTAAACAACTGATCAACAGCTGTCGTGGCCTGCAGGAGGAGTCACATGTGCTGGACAGAAGTTTGTAAAACCAGCGTAGTGTCGTCTTTACATTGTGGTTGTTTGGCCTTATGGCTCCTTGTGGTCATTGCTGAGGTCAAGGTAGAGCTGCTTGTTACCATCACTACTATGAGATAACAGCAGCATTTTCTTTTCTTTTCCTGTTAATTTTTAAAAGGCTGTGATTGTGAGCTGACAGTATTATCATGTAGATTATCTGATGTCGCCAAGCGAACACGTGCACCTTCTCCTGCAATGTACACACAGTAAACATACGGCCTGTCGATGCTAACAATGCTAACCTTACTACTGCAATGCTCCGTGTTCATATGTACAATCCTGTAAACAAGAGTACCTCAGCGTAGATCAGGTTTTATGTGTGAGCTGTTTTGCATTTTAGACGGAAATAAATCTAGTTTGATGAATGCCACATCAGCACGGTGCTTCTGTCTTCTACCTCCAGCCGTGGAGTTACAGATGAACTTAATCTTTCTGCTCCATCTACTTTCTCCACTTTCTCCCCTCCTCCCCTGAGAAACTAACCTTCTCCCAGAGACAGATAAAGAAGAAGCTGATTTATTAGGATTCAGAAACAGACAGGTGTTCCTTAATGATTTCTCTCTTCCTCCCCCTCCTCCCCTCGCCGCCTCCACCAATAGCTGTGGCCTTGGGCAACTCCTGACTTTTATTCTCTTATCCTCCTCTTCCAAGTCACCCTTTCTTCACCCTTTTTTCACTACTCGCTCCTCCCCCCAGTCTCTCTTATTTCATCCCTTTCGTCCTTTTTTTTTTTTTTTTAATGCACGCTCTCTTCCTCCCTCCCTCCGTCTCTCTTGGCCACATTCATCTTGGGATTGTTATGATTGCCGTGCGTTCCTCTGCCATGGCCTGCAGGAAGAGTGAGTTAGTACATGTCAGCGAGCACAGGTATGCGGTGTGGACACCGACCGGCTGGCTCGTTCGCTGCCTCTCTGAGCGAGGAGGGAGAGGGAGCTTGCTTGCATGCATGAGCTGCAGAAGAAAGCCCCGAATAAGCCACAAGGTAATGATGTAGCAGACAGAACAACACGGCGTAGCGTGAGCTAAAAAGAAAAGTTAAAAAAACACCACGACCAACCTGACCCCATTTCTGTGGGGTTTCAGTCCAGTCATGTT